CCCCCCTTCATCGCCACCATCCTTCAGCACCACCACTACCACCTCCACCTCCATCACCACCCACCGTCGTCCCTACTACTAGTGTCACCATCACCCTGACCATCATCACCACTGCCACCAACACCATCACCATCACCGCCACTGCCACCACCTCCACCACAACTGCCACCACCACTACCAGCCCCACTATCAGCCTCATCGTCACCATCACCACCTCCACCAGCTCACTCTCACTGCCACCCCCACCTCCACCACCACTACCTCCCCCACCATCATCCACAAACTGCCATCGCGACCGCCATCGCCATCACCACCATCGTCATCACCTCTAAACCCATTGGTTTTTTATTGCTATAAACTCAATAAAAATCAATAATAAAACTCTAACAAACTCAGTTAAAATCTATACATGAATTCAGTCAAAATCTATGTGGAGTTTGTAGAATTCAATCAAACTCAATTAAATTCAATTAAACTCCATAAACTTTATAACTCTTTTAAAATCATTTAAAATCTAAATTGAATACACCCTCCTAAGAGGAATTGAATTGAGGAGTTGGATTGAGGGGAGTTAGATTTCGAATTCCTATTGAAGTTGTTTACTAAACCATATGGAATTTGGGTCAGAGTGGTATTAATTCCTTATAAGTTGTTTACTAAATTCACATGAATTGGAATTGAAACCAAATTGATTACTAAAATGTCCTCGTTGTTATGTTAAACTAGATGACAAATGTGGGATTTTTAAAATTGTGTGAGGATATAATGGGTAAAAAAATGGATTCCTTATGGGTTAGTTCTCCATAAATTAAAATACCACTTCCCCACCCAACAGTCCAATTCCTCCAAAATCAGGAGTTGAATTCCTGATTTTGTGTGTGTCCCACTTGCATTTTATTCCTCCATGTGAACTAAATACAAGAGTATCTATAATATGAATTCAACTCCTTATTTTGATTCCAATTACGAATTAGTAAACATCCCATTATTTTTAGAGTTTTTCTATTTAAACCTCACACTTTTCTTTGTTCACTCCAATACTCAAATCATTAACCTCTTAAGTTTTATTATTGTGTAAAAAGACAAAATAGGTCATCCAACTTAATACTTAACCCTAGTACATATAGACACACACCCCCATACACACCACCACTCTTCATATTAAGTTTTAGAAAAACACAAACTCCTCTACACCCTATTGCCAGATTACTTCTCTTTCAATCCAAGAAACCTACTACACTCCCATATTCTCTTCACAAACCCTAAATATGGCAAATCATAATCAAACAAGCAAATCAGAAATAATAATAATCATAATCATAATTAAAGAAACAAAACTGGAGGGGGAAAAAAACCAGACCTTTATTGGGAAGCAAAGAAACAATGCCTGCCTAAGCCCTTGATTGATATATAATATGGAAATTGGCACATGGGTTTGCTTTGTTGAACAAGAAAATAAAAAAAATAAAATAAAATTTAATAATAAAATAATGATGCTACACATTTTGTGATATCCCGTTCCTAAATTAATATTCATTTCTTAAATTATTCAAGTAAAAGACAATTTCACCCCGAAAGTATTTTAATGGGTTTAAAATTGACTTTTTTCGGGAAATAATTTGGGGATTTGAGTAATGCCATTACAAAGAGTGCGCTGATACGAGTTCGTAGATACATATTGGGCTCAAATCGGAGTTTTAACGAAGAAGTTATGGTCAACGGAAGTGCAGTGGCACAACCGTAAATATTTCGAGGTCAGATTTTTTAAAAACCAGTCAGCCTTCTTTCTCTATCTCTCCATCCCGACTTATCTCTCTCTCTCTCTCTCTCTCTCTCTCTCTCCGGTGACGACACCGCCGCTTTCGACGGCGATTCCGGCACCGTCCGGCAACCAAACGCGACACCATAACATGCAAAACGCTCTTCTCCACCTCCTCTACACGACCCACTAAATTTTCAGACCTGATTTCGAGCCGTGAAGGGACTCGAACAAGGGGAAAAATCATTGTTTTTCCGTCCCCGTTTCCCCCAATGGAATCCGATGAGTGAGGTATGCTTCTTCATCCATTTTTCGTGTTCTAGCTATTTTGATAGTTGGTTTGTATCGATTTGGAGCCGTGAGTGTTCAATTAGAAACCTAGATTTTCTCCCGACTTTGGCAGTGTGTTTTGGCCACTTCCCGACCAAATTGGAGGTCGGCCCAGTTATAAAAGTTGCTCCCCTAGTTGCCCCGATCACGTAGGTATAGATATTGTTGGGTGATTTGAGAAATTTCCGTTAAGGTTGGGTGGCCTATTTGGTCTTAAAATGATCCTTATGTCGTCCTGAGTGTTGACACGTGGTTAGTCTGCCATGAAGAAAACATGATGATGGAAGCAACAAAAGAAGATGCTGCCAGATATAAAAGGAGAAGACATCATCATGAAGACTGCTGTAATATTATTTCTTTTTGTAAACTATTCTATTGTACAGCTATTACTTTAATAGCTATTTATGTAACCCGTAAAAAGGAATGAAAGTAAGAGAAACCATTCTCTGGTTTTCATATGGTATCAGAGCGTCAAGATCTCTGTGAATTTTTTTTTTCTCTTCTTTTCTTCTTTCTCTATACTGCTGACAGTTTCAGCAGCTCTACCCTTCAAATCAATATTTGTTTAACCGACTTTATCCCTTATCTCCAACAGCAGCTTTAAACCCCAGAACTCTCAGACTCATCGCCATCTCACTATCTTGACGAAGTCTGAAAAATCAGTATCTGCAAGCTGCATATGCACAGGTGTGCTCTGAAGCTAATAGGCAAGCAACCATGTTAGCTGGCTCACATGTTGACGGGTCAGCTATGACAACCACTTTACATCGCCCTGTACCTAGAAGTGGTCATCCAAAGCCGGGACAAAAGGAGCTTGACACACGCCAATGTACCCACTGTGGGAAGAAAAAACACACTCGGGAAACTTGTTTCGAATTGGTTGGATATCCAGATTGGTGGGTGGACAAACAAGAAAAGGGAAAAGAGAAGAAAAAAAGTGTTGCAAATTTGGCTTCACAACCTTTACCTCATGGTTCTTCACCACATATGGATCAGTCTGCTCTCAGAGTTTTCCCCAACACTACTTCCACTTCCTCACCATATCCAGGTACAAGTCACTATGGTTTAGCAGTGAGCACACCCTTTAATGCTAGCGATAAACTCTGGATCATTGATTCAGGAGCTTCCGATCATATGACTAATAATACTGCTTGGTTTGTTTCCCAAAGTCATCCACATACAAAAACTGTTAAGGTTGCTAACGGTTTTTCCACTCCGATTTTAGGAGCAGGATCTGTTTCTCTAACTCCATCATTGTCGTTGTCCTCTGTTTTACATGTCCCTACTCTCTCCCACAATTTGCTTTCTATTAGTCAAATTACTAAAAATCTCAATTGTTTGGCTATTTTTTCTCCTACCTCTTGTTTATTTCAGGATCTTCAGACAAAGGAGCAGATTGGTCATGGTAAGGAAAGCGGAGGATTGTACTACTTGGACTCAAAACTGCCTGATCCTCAAGTAAGAAGTGGTTATCAAGTTAGTACAAAAAAAGCTAACACAGAAATTTGGTTGTGGCACAAAAGGTTGGGTCACCCATCCTTTCAATATTTACAACTTCTATTTCCTTCTTTATTTGCTAAAGTTCATGTGTCTGACTTCCATTGCGAAACTTGTATTTTTGCAAAAAGTCATCGTGTTTCATTCCCTGTAAGCTCCAATAAAAGTCATGTTCCATTCTCTCTTATTCACTCCGATGTGTGGGGTCCATTTCATGTTCCTACTTACACTGGTGCTAAGTACTTTGTCTCCTTCATTGATGATTGTACTCGTGTCTCTTGGGTTTATCTGTTGAAAAATAAAAGTGATGTCTCGTCCATTTTTCCTATTTTTCATCACATGATTCAAACACAGTTTCATGTACCAGTACAAGTAGTCCGATCTGACAATGGGGGTGAGTATTTGAATTCTGAACTTAGAACCTTTTTTGAGCAAAATGGCATCATACAC